GCTGGATTGCGCCTTGACTTGGTAGACGGAGAAGGGTGATTACCGGACGAAGTCAGAATTTAATTGGAAGGTAGGAGACCACCGTATGAAAAGAAGATACAAATATCGCTTCGGATGGGAAGTACTTGGCGATCCTGGTCGGTAAATCCGTTCAAGTCAATGTTGGTTGGGGACTACAGCAGTCGAAATTGTGGCTAAAAACCACATACGCTAGATGCTTACGGATACGACTGGACCCGGAAGGCTAAGTACCTTTGCATGACCAAACTGACCTATCAAGATTTAAACGTTCAAGGGAAAGCCATAAGGGCAACGGATTCCCGTTGATTTGATATCACGGTCACCCGAGTGTGTGTGTGTGTGGAATCACAGCGATATCAAGAGTAGCAGACACTAGCTTACATATTACTGCGGATATAGTAGAAGAAGAAGAAGAAGTACTGGAAGCAGGTGAAACATTGGTCGACACTCATCGTACTCAACGTCAACATACCATCAAAAATTATGTCGAGGGATATCGCTCAGACGGCCGTTGAAGAAGAGGAAGCAAAATTAAAAGAGGACGTGCGATCTATGATTACATAGATAACTTATTGACCTCGAAAGGTGACAACCAGGAAAATCGCCAGTGGTTGTTATTATGATCACCATGCCTAGTTGTATTAGTGACGGGGATAACGGTGATATAGTTTGTTGATCGATTTCTGATCAGCTTGATTGAAAGACTAAACTCCAGAGAGAAATATCAACGGGATAACTAGCGACTGCCGGCATTAACACTCTTACAAACGTGATGGAAGACGCTAAGACGGTACGGGATGAGTCGGAAACGCCGCTTAACGAGTGAAAGGAGAAGCTAACTCCCGAATCAATCAAAGATAGGGTGCCTATTCGTATGCAAGACCAGTCCACCTATCACCCAGATGGGACTTTTGTTGAGAATGGTGAGGTGCATCGACGTCCGACCATCCGGCGAAATGTAAAGCATCAATAAAGATGGAAACGCACGCGAGTGCTCGTCATACCATCAAGAAAGTGGAGTGGTGTTTGAGGAAGTTTTTGGGAAACACATGGCAGTCTCACCAGAATCAGACGTGATGCGATAGGAGGTGACTATCAACGACATACAGGTGGGCAACCCAGGGGTCTTATCGACCAAAGATCAAGAAAAATCACGACAGATGATCTGGAAGAAACGACACCATTAAATGGGCTAAGGAAATGCTTTACCACGAGGTGTAGCAGGTCACTCACTCGTAGTACATCCACAAGCTTGTGGATGTACTACGAGTGAGTGCGATGGCCTCACTTGTGGTACGGTCGTTAGTACGACTGCCCGAAACCTTAGTGTACCAAACGGTTACACTTCGGAGCAAAGTTCCGGCGGCTGTGAGGAAACACAGGCTGCGCCGAAGGTCCACCACTCAAATAATTCTAGTGGACCGGGACAAAGATGTATCCCTAGCGGGGAACATCTAGAAGAGAAACAATCGATCGCTCAGGTTAAGCGAAACGATAATCCTAGATCGACTGGAGAGTCTTTCGTAGAGGATCTCGCTGTGGTTGCGCAACCACAGCTAGAGGAAGTAAAGGGAATAAGTCCCGATATTACAGATACGGCGGAAATAAGTTCACCGAAACCCGAGGGAATAAGTCCTCGGGAAGCCGGAGGGATAAGTCCTTCGAGACCTGAGGGAATAAGTCCTCAGGAAATGACAGAGACATTGAATGTCATAGTCAATGACGGATCAAGTGTAGGCGCTTATCCACTTAATCTGATTGCGCCTCCGAAGTTGACTTAGGAGATTACTCAGTTGCCAACGCTCGATCATAAAAGGTTCTTGCGTGATCTGCGTAGTGGCAAAGTCAAGCAGATCTGCGTACTCGTCGCTGACGACGAGTGCGTAGCCGACATAAGGTCAGCAACAATGTTTACTGAGAACGAGATAGTTCTCAGTAGCTCATCAATGGACGAGAGTGTCCTCGATGAAAAGACACGAGTTGAGCGATATGAATTCCAATCGTGGGAATCGCTCAAGACAAATCCTCTTTATGAAGATTTGGTTGAATTCAAGGATGTATTCCCTGAAACTGTTCCGTGCGAGTTACCGAAGGATAAAAAGGTATTCGACACGAGGTCGAGCTTAAACCAGGCTCGAAGTACTGTGTCATGAAGCAGTGGCCACTGCCTCGTGAACAAGTACTTGCGATCGACAAGTTCTTTGCCGATCGTTTAGCTGCGGGCCATGTGAGGGAATCAACTTCCCCACATAGCTCTCCGACCTTCTGTGTTCGAAAAGCAACAGGAGGGTGGCGGATAGTGCATGCATTTAACAAGTAGAATGCTGCAACGGTACCAGCTCAGACGCCGATACCAAGAAAGGACGTAATCATTGATGGTATGTCAAAGATACCCATCTTTTCATCCATGGATTTGATGGATGGCTTCTATCAGATCTTCATGCGAGAACGGGATGTACCCTATACCGCAGTGAGCACGCCTGGCGGCATGATCTGGGGATGGCTAGTAATACCACAAGGGCTTAGTAATGCCCCTGCCACGTTCAACAGATGTGTACTACATCTGTTGAGACCAATACGAGATTTCGCGCCGACTTATTTCGATGACGTATTCATCCATAGTCGGTCTATGGATGGAAAGTCGGATGTTGAGGTTCACAGGTACCACGTCCGACAGGTTCTTACAATCATGCGAAAGCATCAATTGTATGCCAACCTCAAGAAGTGTATATTTGCAGCAAGCGAAATATCACTTCTTGGGTGCATCGTTGGTAAGAACGGTGTACGTCCTGATCCCGAAAAGATCAAGGCGATCACCGACTGGCCTGTGCCTGTTGATGTCAAAGGTCTTCGAAAATTTCTTGGGCTAGCGGCGTATTTGCATAAGTATTCACGCAATTACGCCGAGATGACTGTACACCTCTCTCGTTTGTTGAAAAGGAACGAGAGGTGGTTATGGAACGCTGAATGTCAGCGCTCCTTTGATGGTATCAAGCAGAGCTTGATACAATCCCTAGTCCTAGAAATCGCCGATCAGGACAGGCCATTTCATGTGGTCTGTGATGCCAGCGATTTCGCAATCGGCTGTGCATTAATGCAGTACGACCTAGAAGGCGTTGAACGCGTCGTCTGCTATCAGTCGCGTCAGCTGCAACCAGCTGAGCGGAACTATCCAGTGCATGACAAGGAACTCCTTGCCATGAAGTATGCACTCGCGAAGTTCAGAATCTATTTATTAGGAGATAGACCCTTCATTGTTTACACTGACCATGCGTCATTACGCACGGCAGTGAACAGCCCGCACCTTTCACAACGAATGGCGCGGTGGTTGTTATTCGTTGCAGAATACGACTTTACGGTAGAGTACAAACCAGGAAGACTTAATGTCGTCGCTGATGCACTCTCACGTCGGCCCGACTTTGAACCAGTCGTGAGACCCAACAGTGAGACAGCCACTGTTGCGGTTATGACGTCCTCAGTACCATCTTCAACGTTATATGATGATGTGAGGCGGGCCTATGCCCAAGATGGTGAGATTGTGAAGTTGTTGACACATCTCTCACAACCATCTCGAGAATCGTTGAATCGATTGTCGTCTGCGTATCGATCTGCATCAGATCGATACACTACTTGCAACGGTTTAATGTATTTACAGCCGTTACTGGTGACACACCACGTGTTGTCATCCCAGATGATACTGATCTGCGTTTGCGGATCATGTTCGAGTATCACGATGCTCTATAGGAGGACATCGTGGCCGGGAGAAAACATATCTCACGGTGAGTCGAGACTTTTACTGGCCCCGCCATGATCAGTTAGTGCGAAAGTATGTTCGCGCATGCGAAGCCGGTCAACGAGTGAAGTCAAGAGAGTGAAGTCAAGTCATTCACTGCGTGCACCTTTACAGCCTCTACCAGTTCCGGCAGAGTGCTGGGAATCCATCTCAATGGATTTCGTCTTCGGGTTACCCAAAGACGCACGCAAGAATACGGGTATTCTTGTGTTTGTTGACAGATTCAGAAAAATGGTACACCTCGTGGCTGTACACGAGTCAATCACGGCAAGTGGCCGTGCTTGTTTCTTTATCTACACCATATTCCGACTTCATGGGTTGCCCCGTGAACTCGTATCAGACAGAGATCCACGCTTCACAGCTGACTTCTGGCGCTCCGTGTTCAAATCACTCGGAACGCGCTTGAAGATGTCGACATCTGATCATCTAACGTCAGATGGTCAGACGGAACGATCCAATCGTGTCCTCGAAGAGATACTTCGAGGATACGTACACTCCTTTAAGAGTTGGAGTGAGTTCTTGTCAATGGTAGAGTTAGCCATTTACAACTCGGTGCATGCGTCCACGACACACACACCGTTTTACGTGAATGGCTTGCGCCATCCGCGTGTACCCACCTTACTCGAGTGTAACTCTGGTTTAAGGGGGGGAGGGACTCGCGCGAGCAAAAACCTATTTGGTTCACGCTCATCACGCTCTGACGATGAGGTCATTGCGTTTGATGCTGATATCGACAACATCGATATCGAAGAAGATGATGCCAGTGAGAGCGAGGAAGCCCTCACTGAAGAAAAGATGGATATCGCTTCAGTGCACTCACAGCGCACTGAAGCTAACGAGTCATCAGATGAGTTCATACTGGCTCGTGAAACGGTAGTCCGTTTTGTGCAAGACTCCATCGCCGAAGCGGTGGATAAGCAAAAGCAAAACGCTGACAAGAATGGAAGGGCAATCACTCTTTTATTTAATAAAGGTGACTTAGTCCTACTGTCTACGGTTAACCTACTAAAGCATGTAGTGACTAACTTGGGTAGTAGTAAACTACTACTTAAGTACATCGGCCCATTTCGTGTATTGCATCGCGGAGGCAACGCATACACGATCGAACTGCCACGTAAGATGCGAACGCATCCCACGTTTTATGTTGGGCGGCTTAAGCCGTACCAACAGTACGCTGCTTCTTCCGATGAAGAACGCCCTTGCGTTCAAGCATCTCGCAGAGAGCCTTGTGCTCCCGATGGTGGATATCGACAAGGGTCTGAAGAGCATTTATCTCAGCCCGAGACCGGTCAATAATCCACACGAGCTACCCTTAGCTCGTCACGCAGAGATATCAGAGCTCTCTCGTTCTCAAGCTGAGCAAAGGCAAACTCAGCTCGATGTTTCAAGACAGTGTCCGCCAGTTGAAGACGCCTGTCCCGCTCATGCTCAAGGTCGCCGCGCAACACAAGAATTACGCGATCAAAGAGGCTCTCGGGGACACACGCTCCCCCACGATAGTTTGGAGAGAGTTTTCTCTCCTCCTCCACCTCCATTAGAGGCCTCTCGCGGTGGCCAGCGCTATATGGTTGAGCAGCTGTTGAACCACCGCGACGTGAACGGACGTCGGACGAGTTACCTCGTCCGGTGGCGCGGCCATCCCCCGTCCTGGGATACTTGGGAGCCCCGCTCCCAACTGATGATTGATGTACTGGGTATGGTTGAGCAGTACGACGCGGCACATCCTGTGTTGCAGAAGGACCGCCGGAGAAAGTCTTCCCGGCACGGTCGTAAAGGGATTCAGGCTGTCAATCCCTTCGTACATCTCAGTAGAGATACATACACGCCACCACGGGCTAGTAAGGAGGTAGGTCTCCTTAGGTGCGCGCGCAGAGTTGTTTACACGACAAGGGCACGGGTCTCCCCAGGAGAGACAGGGTAACCTACCCTCCTTAGACAGACGATGCAGCTTATAGCGTGCACCTATCGGGGTTTTTCTCTCAAAATTACCACGAGCTTTGATAAGGTTGTCGTTCCAAACGTCACGACCTACATCCTCAAGGTTATGGATGAAAGCGTTCCACGCTTGAAGCAGTGAGGGGCCATCACGCTTGTGATTCCCACTGTACCATCCATGCTTAAAGAAAGAATCGATGAAGAATTCACTCTCAGTGTGATAGACTTTCGCACTAGGGTCAAGGTGATGGATCCTTGATGAATCGAATAATTGTCGTCACCGACAAGTGATCCATGACCGACTTTGGAGGCAGCCATGCTTTCTTTTCGGGAGCGAGACGCAGCACACTGCGGTCCCGCTCTTCCTGCGACGTGCCGACAGAAGCACTGGCACCTCAGTGAGAAGTGGTGTCCATAGGAGAACCGACACCACTGTGAGCGCCCGAGTCTTGCGATTTCGAGCGCCTTCGCTTTGGCGATGGTTCATCTGATTCTTCAGATGAACCAAAGATGCTCAACGATTAGCATCATCCATGCCACGCTTGGCAGGCGGCTGGGTTTCAACCGCCTTCGATACGGATCCCTCTTCCGTATCAGGAGAGTATGAGACACCGAGCTCATACTCTGAGAAGACATGAGTGTCTTCATGACGAGCGTTTGCATCACCAGGTGATACAGACTGAGACGCTATGGCAACCGATGGCACATCGGTTGCAGCAGTTTCTTCTTCGGCGTCTGGTCAGAGACGTGCAGACGCGCTCTCAGCTGCCTTGTTCGCGCACCGCATGAACTTGTTTTCCATGCGATGAAATGTTGGGAAGTGGACTCGGACCAACAAATGCAAACCCCGTCCCAAACGATTTGGGACGAGTATCCATTTAGTCGATCAGTCACTAAAGTGACTGATGGTTAAGGTGGGGGTGATGTAACGGGGTGAACCGTTACATAACAATTTATAAGAAATTGTTAATAGAATATAACTATAAGAGTTATATTCTCAGAATATTGTCATAAGGACAAATATTCTGTAGCACTTACAGGTAGTTCCCAATTGGTTGATATAGGCCATTATATCAACCAACGAAGACGCGCCATGACAGACGCACGCAATGAGTGGTGAGCAGATAACTGATTTACACATTTGCATTTAGACATAGTTAGATGAAGATAAATAGTGATTTATTGCAGACATTAACTATTATAAATACAGTTCTACTTTTTACTCTAACCAAGTACTCGCTTCTTCTTACCGTCTTCCTCTGCACGTACTAGTGTACGTGAAGTTACGAGGCACCGCCTTATTCTGTTATCGGAATAAGTAGCTTGTACTGTCACCAGTACAAGCTTCAGGGTGCCCCGTTACACTACCGATACCCCAGTAATCGCGCGAAGATTTCCGCCCGGTTACACAAACTCATTTCCAACACTGTCAATTATCATTCGACACGAGATCGCGCGAAGATTTCCGCCCGGTTACAAAAACTCATTTCCAACACCGTCAATTCTCATTCGACACGAGTCCACCTGGAAGAGTGCAACCAACCCTACCGATGGGTGCACAAGGTGAGGATAGCGACATACACGAAATCCAAGTACCCCCTTCGTTAGTAGGTCGTCTGGAAGCCAGTGGAAAGTCGGGCAGTGGAAAGTCGGGATCTTCTCAAGAATTGAGCGATCACCACACCACCACAATAATGCACGTACCTGGATCTTCTGTTGACTCAGGACATAAACATGAGCCCCGGAGTAAAGCGGTGAAAGCCAAGACTGAACCTGGAATGGAAGCATTTGAGGAAAAGGATCGCCGCAGACACGTGTGTTTAAAGACTTACCAGATTTTCAAAGTTTTCATAGGGGCTCGGATACCAAGAGAGTAAAAGAACCAGATCGACCTTTCGATCTGGAAGATAAACTTCACTTCTCCTCCTGAGGCCCCTTCGAGGACCACCGCGGATCGTGCTGCGAAGTACGATCCGTTGGATGAAAACCCTTCAGCGGAATTATGCAAAAACTATGCAAGACCACTCAGGTAATGTCAGAGAAGAAGAGTTTAAGGACAGATCATGTAAAGAAAGGAGCGTCCAGATCGGATCAACACGATCGAATTGCGAAATCGTTCAACAAACCGATAAAGTTCGCGGACGATGCTATGGACATGAAGATGGAAGGCTGGCAGCTGCATCAACTCGCGCAGAGATACCATTGGACGGCGCTCAAGAATATACTTAGAATGATACCATGCTAAAGATATTGAAGCCCGAGGTGATTGGAGAGATTCAAGGTCCGATATCCTTACCGAAAGCGGCAACTAACCCGCTAGAAGGAATTAGAGCGATCATCCAGCTTCTACGGGATGCTAGACACGTTGCTGGGGAGTTTGATGGGGACAAAATGCTGGAGTGCGACCAAGCTCAGGTGATCCACGCGTTTCGATCGCAATATAACAAGTTGGTTCCTTTGACGGATAAGCACGAATACACAGAATAAGCTATTGCTAAATCGCAGATGCCCCGAGAGGGTGCCATATCGGATCGTCGCAGTACGCCTCGGTGAAATCCAAGATAGAAACGGACGATTCGGTCGGTATGTAGCAGATTTCTCTAGACTTAAGTGGATCAGCACATCTTCGTGATCGGGTGGAGACGATCAAGATCAAACCGCGATCGACGATCACTGGCGCTAAAGGACAAATGATGTCAACTGGCAAGGAAACCTGCACACATACCTCGATGAGGCCATGGAACGTTTACAGCAAGATCGGTGGGAACGAGCATGTCAAGCGATCTACCCAAGCCAAGGGATCAAGCCTGTAAGATTCTAGAAACATATATTCCGGATGATGAGATGAAATTGTGGGATCGCACATCAGTCGATCGGAGTTCTTCGACCCTGAAGTTGCTGATACTGACGACTCAGGGCAAGAGGAGCGGCGACATGCGATTGTGACAGCCACAGAGACGCAGCAGGAAATGGTGCAATCCCCTAGCTCATTTGAGTGCCGTCAATGATAGAGCTGAAGGATTTTAGTGCAAAAGATCGATACGAAGCCAGAAGCTGGATCAGCAAAGTCAAGTCGGCGTCCTGCGCGATCAGGCTACCGATAAATAAAAGTGATTGGTGTTTGGTGATCTGGTGATGGGACCTGCGTGAAGCTGGTACTATAAAATGAGCCGATCCACTCGGCACGAACGGGAGCGATTGCTGGATGATCTAAGGTACAGTATGGAGGGCAAGTGTTGTCTTTGATCAGCAAATATAATTTCGCGCAAAAGCGACCAAATGAAAACCCGCTGGAGTATCTACACCGTCTCAATGTCGTGGCCAAAGAAGCTAAGATCACGATCAAAGAAGGGAAAAAAATGGACACCGTGGCCATACGTCGCGAACATTTGGAACTTTTCATCGCTACGCTCAATGACCGCAATCTCGTAAAACAGATAACTCTATTGCAGTTATGGACATTGATAAAATGGAAGAAACTCTTCTTGCAGGACAACGTGTGGAGAATCGTCAGATGAAAGATTCGACGGGATCGATCAGATTCGATCAGCGGGCGACCGCGCCTTCAAATCCAATGTCATTCAAGCAGCCCAGGCTGTGAGGGCGATCCGCGATAGAGTCGAAAGCAGTAAATTCGAATTATGATCAATCGGATCCGATGAAGGCAAGGATCGTCGCCGAGTTTGTGTAAATCTATGCCTGATCAAGGAAACCGAACAAGGATCATCGAGCTTGGCATAGGAACACTGGAGAAAGAGATGAACGTGATTGAAGTGGAAATACGAAGGCCTGTACCCATTGTGAAAAATCGGAAAAGGATCATTGCGCTTGGAATAGGAACACTGGCGAAAGAGATGAATGTGATCGAAGTGAAAATAAGAATGCGTGTACCCATTGTGGAACTACCAGACACGATGATAGGGGATGCTAGCAGAAATTGAAGTCCTGTCAGAAGTCCGCAAAGGATATTTATCGTACAAGTGTTTCTATGTATGTGCAGCTTGCGTAGAGTTGCATGAGAATGGCAATTGCCCCATAGAAGAATTCTCTAACTTGGTCCGCAAGTTGTATGTGCCTACCAAACTCGCAGGGATGTTTCTCCCCATGTGGAGGAGATATATAGTAGGACGCTCTTCAGGTTGGAATCTGGTACGTGCCGAGAGTTCTAGGCTATGCATATATGCATCTGTTGAGAAACGATTTATTAATTAAGGAGTTAAGGATCGACGCGATCCGATCATTAATAGATGCGATCGTTTCCATCTGTTATGCCCAATATAGCGCGTCAGGAGCTACCCAATTTATCGTTTGTGGGCAAACGAGTCGTGTCCATGATGGCTACAATCCCGTACGAAGAGCTTCTGGAGCTTGTCAAGCTGCCCACCGAAAGCGTCGTGCGATCGGTCCCGCTCCCTGATCGCCGCAATACGATTACTAGGAGACAATGATTGCCGCGATCTGATCACTAATAGATGTGATCGCTTCCTATCTGTTTCTTCTTTATCAAGTGTGAATCGCGTGGAGGATTGTGCCCGATCCCCAATGGAGATGGAGATCGATCTTGCCCCAAGGGAGTCAAGGGTATAATGAAAGTATCATATTCTGGACAAGTGGGTTAAGCAAGCGAAAGAAGTAGGCCAGATCAACAATGAGAAATCCACTATGCTGTTTGATTCTGGAGCGGAAATCTCGATCATCGCCACAACCTTTGCTCGTTAGTTAGTATGTGTGTTCGACCAGAGCCGAACAAAAGAATGTGTTAAGATCGGAGAGAGTGCCTGGATGACGGTCGGTCGGATTGAGGTTAAGATCACACTGAAAGGATCACGAGTACACTATTTTGATGTCTGGGTTAGTGACCAGGTTGGTCAAGAAGCCATAATAGGTATGGACTTTATATTTCCAGCAGGCATCCGTTTGGATCTGGCCGACGGAACCTGTGTTTACAAGACGTAGTTCGGATCGGTTTGGCTTGACGGAGACCAC